TGTTCACATTTCCACAAGAAACCAGCACAGCTAATGTGAGGCTCATCACATCAAGACAAAATCTAAACGCTGTGACTGTCTGTTTCAGGTAATACTGAATATGCCAAACTATTTTTAAAAGTGCAACAACAGGATTAACAACATTCTTGTGGTTTCTACAGGTCTTTTACAGACTTGACAAGAGATCACTCATTATTCTCTTTGGCCACACCTTCTAAGGATAACGAATTCTTGATATTCAAGAACAGTGGGAGTGAGGGGTTTCATTTATATGCCAGAAGTGTGTTTGCAGTTGTTATTGGCCATGAGTATAAGCAGAACATGTGGCACTCTATTTGTGCCACTTGGGATGCAAGTTCTGGTCTTGTACAACTGTGGGTGGACGGAATCCCCTCAAGCAGGAAATTCACCGGCTCTGGGACAATGGCTGAACAAATGATAATTGTTTTAGGACAGGTATGTTTTTTAAACATTGCTTATTAATTAGTTAACTCCTTTCATTAGTCTATCAACCATATTGATGACATTTCTCTTTTTATTTGCTGTATGTTTAGCAGGAAAATATAGAACAAAGCAAAGTTTCCCTTTTAATCATATTGTCTGCATTTTTCCAGGATCAAGATTCATATGGTGGTTCTTTTGACGCCAAACAATCATTTGTTGGGATGATTTCTGACCTCCACATGTGGGACAATGTCCTCTCCCCCTGTGAAATCCAGAAATACACAGGAGATTCCAATTTCCCTGATGGGAATGTGCTTAACTGGAAGGCGATGGAATTCAAGATAACAGGAAGAGTGCAGATCGAAGAGAAACAATCAAAATACAGCAGTATGTGCAATAATTAAACATATGAAATATGTCCTTATGTTGGATGCAAGACAAAAATCTTTTCTTTCTCTGATGATTTTGTGTGGGGCTAGGCACTTCAATACACTTCAGCTTTGGCTTCATACATATTTAAAAGTTTCCATGTTTTTCTTAATGTACTGTAACATGTCATAGGAAACTTTGCCCCCTGCTGGCAAGTACATTTCTTATGTACATGGAACCAAAAAATATATTGGCAGGCCTTCTTACAACCCAAGACTTCATGCCTGTGGATCTGACAACCTTATGCGCAAAGACAATAAAATCTCTATAGGTGCAACTCATCTAATCATGGATTACAGAGTTGTCTAGATGTGTGAAATGAATTGCGTTTGGAATGATGAATGCAAGATGTCTGTCGTGCTCCGTCTAAGTTTTTTCTCAAGACAATATTGTAAAATCATGTCTTATACATCTATACACACAGAATGTCTGAGAAGAATGTCTGAGTATAGGTACAAAGAACCAATCTGTTATGGCAACCGATTCTGGACTACCCTTTGTGATGTACCAACACATTCTAAGTTGTATTGAAGCTCTAAACCTTTATCTAACCTTTAACCTATATCTCCACATAAGCAACTACACCCAAGCTTTAGTTGTTCTTAATGAAGCATGTATTGAACTTATTAAATCACATCATCCATTAATAGTGTTTTTGATTTATTTAGAAATAAGTAAAAAAAAGTGAGTCTTTTTTCATTAAACATGAAAAGTAATAAAAAATTGTTCTGCTTACGCAGGGAGGACTACATATGAACATGAGTGGACTATAATTGATTATTTTTCCTGAACTCTGTTGTGTCTCCATGGTACAAATCTGAGCTGGTGAAATTATACACCACTCTACACATGATCCACTCTTATCCTCAGAGAGTCCGAATTTGGAATCTGAAATCAAGACACTAAAAGAATCAACTCAAGAACTGGCAGAATTAATCTATAACTCACTTTCAACATCATGAAAAGGAATCAAGAAGTCTGTTAAGAGTCATAAATGTCTGTACTGCAGCTCAGCAGTAACAAGGTCAGTTTGCCTGAGGCTCATTCAGGTACTTGTTCACTGTCTTACTCTGCCGCACCATTCAACTAAAGCTACAGCTTGGTATCTCAACCTTGTTAATGTAAGTAAGATTGGAATGATTTGCAAAAAAATCCCCCTTTCTACTTTTTGATGATGCTGCGTTTACATGCTTGTACCACCGCTTCAACTAACAGTTTGCTGTGCAGCTTGGAATATTTTTTCCCCCAACATTTTTGTTTAATTTGGGATCAAGAACAAAACGGAATCAACTTCTGTCACCGAACATTAATGGTTTGTCTCTCACTATAGATTTTTGACCCTCTCAGAAAAGAACCAAGGAAATTTTGACTAAATATACAAAATAATGTTTCAGTCAGACTAACATTAAACCATGGATAAATGGATTAATACTATTTGCATCAGAAAAGAAAGTAAACAATTTTTGTTTTTGTAAGGCTGTAAGGAGTTTATTAGATAAAACGAATGTGGGCTCTGGGAATTAGGAAAAATGAGGTAAACTGAAGGACAAAAGCAGTCTTTAAAAGACAAAACAAGGAACTGTCAGTGCTTTAATATTAATTCAGATGGTAAGAAGAAGCCAGCCGCTGATAGTTAAATGCAATTCAGAAACTGATCATTACCAATTTTAAGTGCCTCTAGAAACATTTTGTTGGCCTGGAGCATTTCAAATATGAGTTAATATAAAGCTGGAGGAAAGACATTAGCAATCATGAGAGAGATTTGGTCCCCATCAATCTAACTGAGAATAGTACAACAGACAGCTCTCAATCTTCTTAGGAGAGGATGTCACAGTGAGTTCATCCCATGTTCCTTAACCCCTCTGCAATTTTCAGAAAATTAGAGAAAAATAAAACAAGCTTACTTGACAGGTCTCATTTACCATGTTATGTCTTAGCAATTTGTAATAAGGAAAAGTTGTGTGTAAACAAACAATGCCCTTTGGACATGTGAGACCAAAGTAAAACTGCTTGGAGAAATTTATTACTGATAGTGATCTTTTTGTTTGTTTTGTGTGACCACAGGACCTCGAAACAATCCACCACGACCATTTGTACATACCAGTATATTCCAGAGTTAAATGTGAGGCAGCCCAGTCCACAACGGTACACCTAACAGAACATCAACTCCAAACACGCCACCAAAGGGGTAGATATAAATTCCAGTTCAAAGTTCAAACTGTTCAGAACGGTAAATGACCTTCAAAATAGACAATAGTGTGCTTCAAGAGTGTTGTTCCATTTGTTTCCCCAGCGGTGTATCAAATGGATGAGACTATATCTCATCCTGTCTGGAAGCTCAGTCAAACTTGGGCAGCATTTCCCTGCTGAGTTGTGTGTGCTCTGCCTAGTTGTCAAGGTCTAATCCCTCTCCAGGGTTCATCCCTCAAACTGATTTGATGTTGCTCAGCACAAAACTGTTGAATAGCATGCCCCTCTGTAAATAGGTGATAATATCAGCATGAATGTGCACAGAAAGGACCTGCCTCAGAAGAGCATTTTAGACATTCAAATGCACAGAACAAAATTTCACAACTGATTTCCACATTAATAAAGAAGCACATTTGTAAATTTCATTGGATCAATGAAATTCAGATAGTTGAGGTGGCAATTTGTGGTTTTTCTCAGTCTCTAAACCGAGTTTTAAAGATGGTTCAGGTATGTTCAATTATACAAATCTTTGATAAGAAATAGAATCATCAAAATATGCTCCAAGAATGGGCTCCATGAGAAGCTTGACATATTAAAGAAGTTAAGAAAAAGAAAGAAAGACAGACAAAAAATAGTCTGCTAAGCAAACTGAAACAAGGAATGAATAAGAAAATGAAATCCATCAGTCCATCTCTGTCCACACATTTAACCTACAGATAGTGATTAATCTCTTGCTGCTTTTATATAAAACGTGCGTTTCATCCAGACATTTAATGTAATGACATAAAAAAGAATTATGTCAATTCAGATTCTGTTTCCCACACAGAAACAGTTACTCGCTAAAGGATGAAAATTGAGAAGTTCCAGAAACTTCTGCAGCACAGCGGGGTCTGGTCTGCCTGTCACCAGCATTTAAACCTGTAAATCTTCAATTTTGCCAACACTTATTTTGAAGGACCACTCTTTGGCCGATTGTCTTACCTTCTTTAAGGCAATCAGGCTGATTCCTGTTCTCTCAGATCCTGTCTTTTAAGTACCTGGACTCCTCTTCTCTCCGTTCCAGTGCCGTTCTTCTCGTGAGAGCACTTCCTTTGTTTCCTTTGACCTTCTTTTATGGTCCTCATACTGGATCTGTTCTGATCAGTTCTGATCATTTCTCTTAACAATTATCAGCACAACCACACTCAACCAATTCAGAACCAATTAAACCCCCTCCCCTTATTAGCACCACTTTACTTTTTTAACCATCCAAACGATCTCTCAGCACAGAAAAACTAAACTGAAGCAAAATTGAGCTAAAGTAAGAGTTACAGTATATCAACATGTCAGTAACCTTTTAGCCCCTGACTGGAGACCATGGTATCATAGAGCTCTGATTTAAGCAGTCTGCTCAGTGTATTGACTTATTCCCAAGCAAAGGCAAGATAATCTAATGTGAAAAATGCACTGAGATAGGTATTCTCATTTGATATGTGTCAGACTCAAATTTTATGTCCACCTTCATTCACTGTGTGACGTTTGGATCAGTCAAGAGGGGCAATATAACAATCATAACTATGTTTTCAAAGATGGAGAATCACATGAGAATAACAACCATTCTGACCTGTCGTCCACATTAGTTGGCTTAATGTCTGACTCTTTGAGTAACCAGGGATGAATTCTGATAAGGATATAAGCAAAGAACAGGGACACAAAGGAGCGAATTTAACACAACTTAACCCTTAAAACCTAAAGAAAAAATAAGTAGTTTGATGAAACACCATAATGTTGATTTGAACATGTATTTACCTCTGAAAACAGTTACAGACTTGGTCTGATGCAACATCGCCCAGGTTGCTGTGGCAACAGTACTGCAACAGAAGTTCTGTGGTGGAGAAAATGCGGCATCGCAGTAGATCGTAGTTCGATCCACACAAGTGATGCATTGTAAAAACTGTTAAGAAATCACCTGTATAAAGTGCTGTAAAAGTTTAAAACTTGGGATGGAGGATTTAGGTCTGATTCTCCAGACTTGGAGCACCATGACTGCTGTCTTTTGCAAGTAAGAAACTGTAGGCTCATAAGTTATTTACACATCGTGTCAAAGGAAAAGCCAAAAGTAAGAATATCGCTTTAAATGTCGCTAGCTAGCAATTATCCTTTTTTAAAAGGCACTACAGCCACTTACTCCATAAAGATTTATGTCAGGGTCCTCGAAATGTGGTTTACTATTTTTGCTAAACATTTAGTCATTATTTTTTCAGTTTGAAGTTCTTTTAAAGGGAGTTTTAATGCACACTGTGCTGTCTACAATATCGCAGACAACTTGCAAAACAGCCACTGTCTTCAACAGTAAATTAGACTGCCAGAATGCTGAAGAGCCGCAGCAGTGACGCCACTCACCTAAACGTACTCTCTTTTTGGCATTCCTGCTGAATCAATTAAGCACTGTGTGAGAACTCAGAAAAAGCCCCTTGTGATCAGCAAGCTGCTTTCTGATGTAATGTAGAGCAACTTTCAGCTCATCCGACTGGGAGACTAAGAATATTGTAAAGGTTTTTATTCAACAGACAATGAGAAACACTTGCTTGAGATTCAATTTGAAAAGACTGATGTCTTAGAGCACGATGCATGTATCCCGTGCTCTCCTTAAAAGCTCTGCTGAGGCGTGCAAAGCTAGCCCGCTGATCAGCTGTGATCGACACCTCTTCCAGTCTCATCTTAAACCCGCAACATGAGAATTTACTGAGATGAAAATAACATAAACACAAATTATGCTTTAGAAGTGATGCCTCGCAGACACTGTCCAGCCGCTCTGTTAAATCAGACAAACTCAGCCGATAAGTGCCAGCACAAACATACATGGATGGTCATATGTTTAGATGATCAAGACACAAAGTTAACTAGCTGTTTGATTTCCAAAGTAAAACTGAGTTTATTCACAGTGTTTCCTGTCCGTCATGATCTGCCATTTTTAGGCTGCATTTGTTTAAGATTGCAATAGAGCACTCGTCTGTACAGAGTAGCTGTGGGCTGAACTGGCATCAATCTCTTCTCCACGATTCTTCAAACCTGAGAGCGCCCTGACTGATTACTGCCCATAAAACACAGAATAATATACATGCATTTTGATTAATGATTTTCGACTCCACAAAATCTTCACACAAACATAGTCACATAGTAAATTTTGCATGAGCCCAGAGGTTGGCACTGAGATTCCAGCCCAGTAGGATTTTTGTTATTCACCTTATATTCAGCATCTATTCAAACATTTCATGGATGAATCTTTTGTGAACTCTTCATTATTTGTGGTCTGTGCTGTTTATTTATACTCGTTCAGAGCTGAGCCTTAATGGCTGGTCACGCATAAAGTTATTAAAGGTTTCAGGGCTGTCTAAAAGTGTGAAATTAAATGTGAAAGGAAAAAGAGTGTGTAAGTGAGCTTGTTTCACAGCATTTCTGCATGTTGCTACATTTTAATTCTTTCCCAAGGCAGTATTGGAATGCTTTACACACCAACACACACAGCTGAATGCACCCCAACAGCAGGAAGTGGGCTAAAATAAACAGCAGTTCCTTGGTAATATGAGAATAACACAATGTAAGAGGGTGTACGGGATTACAGATTGTGTGCAGAGATAATGATTTTAGATGCAAGATAACAGGATGTCTGACTAAATGTTGTGCTGTGGGCATGAGAGGGAAGGCAAATTTCTCATTTACAGAAGCACCATACTTTGTCATAGCGACAGCTAGGCCTACTCCATCTTACTTTCTTTCCTCTTCTTTCTCTGGATCATTAGTGTTGGTCTTACTCAGCTCTCCTGGCAATTCTGCCCTTTTTCTCAAACCATCACTAGAACGTTTCCCTGCTCTGCTCATTCCAAGTCTGACCTCATTAGCATATTCAGTAACTGCACTGGACACTATTGTATATTTATGGCCGCCTCTGAGTTCTGCTGCTACCTGCTTGCATTCCTCTGGAAATCTCCCAGTTATGCTAAAACTATTTTACACATTCAGACATTCTGTTTATTATCGGGTGTATTTTGCATGAACATGTGCTTATTCTAGACTGCCCCCCCTTCCAGCGACCCTACGACCCTATTAGGAGCGAGCAGTATCGAGAATGCATGTATGGATGGATGTGCTTGTTCTACATAAGGAAATACAGTATTATTAGCCTAACCTTATTATCCTTTAGTTATGTATGAGCATATGTAAAGATAGCATAATCAAGTGTGTCTTAGTGTGAAACGTGCACACCCTTGAAAGGTAAGCAAGTTTAAGGAGTGATTGTGTCAGGAAACTGGGAGATCAATAACATCCTGAAAAGAGAGCATCCTCAAGGATACAAAAGCGCCACTTAAAGTGAACATAAAGTGGAAAACAGAAACTACTGCCAATATTTATTAAAGTGGTGGGTTCAGTGGGAGGTAGCAATTTGTTTTTCAACATTTTTGAAGAAATGGAAGTAATTTTTGACACAAATTGGTCCATGTGGATGAAAGAAACCAGACTGTTTATTCTTTTCTTGTTTGGGTAGCATGTTTTAAATCATCTACTGTGCAGAATGAATAACTTTATTTCTAAAAATGAATACCTATTTACAATTTGAAAATAAAAATGCATTTTTAATCTTTTTTTGGCGTGGAAAAAACATGTGATTCAACCGGCTAACAGTTAGCTAGCACACTGAATTAAAGATCACAGTTTACAGGTCCGTGGCCTTCATCTCACCCATTTCCTCTCCTGGCTTGGCTCTCTCCCAGCCTTGGCGAATGCGGGTGAGGGTTAAGTCCACACAGGGCAACAGGAGGAGCAATTTGAGGACCAGCACCACAGAAGGCACAATAAGACAGAGCATGTATCCTGGAGGTGTGTACCATTTGTAGGTAGCAGGGCGAAGAAATTTGTTCCATCCATAAATGTAGCCATGTGCTGTGCATATGAACAGAGTCAGATGGCCCAGTTTTGACTGAAAAATTAAAAGATAGGTTCATGTAATGAAAACAAAAAATGAAACAAATATATGACCAAAATCTATAAGACAAATCTGACAGTTGTAAAGCATCATAAGTCTGCTGAACAGGGGGGCTATGATGATTGAGGTCAATCAAGTTGTATTTAATGTATATATGTATGAATTGAATGTATTCATTTAAAAAATGTAATAGAGTGAATAACATCTGTGGTAGATTCCGGAGAAAAGAAACCCCAGCTCCACCAGTGTAACATTTATCCTTATTACTTGATATCAGAAGTCTGGTCAGAGGCCACTCAGCTGGCAAAATAAACAAGGTAAAATCTGAACTTTGGTTTGTTATCACATAACTGATCATGAACACAGGTAAACGGCAGAAATGACTGTGCAGCTTTTAATCTTTTACTCTATGTGGTAGATTAGACTAACCTGGGGCATCTTAACAGGTGCATAAAAAGATAAACTGTTGAACTGTGCACTGATAAGCTGATAAAACTCTTATGGTTCTCATAATTAAAATGAAATATTGTGACCCTAACATCACTTCACATCATGACGATGGAAGATAGACATGTCCATCAAAAAAAGAGAACAGAGAATTTGTGCGGACACTTTGTTTAGCTTTCAGCCCTGATCCATACAACCCAGCAAAATATGAACCAAGATGCTTTAAAAAATGTAAAGTTACTCGGACAAGATTTTTTTGTTTGTTTGTTTTTTTGTTTATGAAGTGAAAGGTTGAGATTGGCTGTTATGTTTTCCTTTGAAAGATATTGGATTATGAGTGTGTGGCTGTCCATTACTAATAGTTAATACTGTAGAATAATGTCATTTACAGCTAAATAACATTTTCCAGTAGGATTTTTCTTATGGATGTGAAATTGAACGGTGGAATTATTTTTCTTTTGTCTTTGTTGAATCCTCAAGTATTAAGAGCTAAAAAGGCACACTTCTCAGTTTTTCCAGAATAATTGCTTTGTAGCACACCAATGGCCTTTGGGGCTCAGTTAATGTTAATTACTTGGATAATGCGCTTTCATTTACATTTCTAGTATTCAGCTGCTGATATTCACATCTGCTGTGACTTACATTAAGCAAGAGCAGCACACAATAAAGAAACATTAACACTGATGTGGTATGGTATTGTGTCCTCATAATGATAATCTGGGACCCCATTTAACCAGTTTCAGATGGCAAATCCCCCTTCTGTAAGAATTAACATATGTGCATTCTCCAGTAACAAGAATAATTACAACTGCAATAAACAAATATACGTTTATATAAATGAATACCTATCATTTCATGTTTTTTATAGCTCATCTCATAAGAGCAAAAGATTGATCTTGATATAGAATTCTATCTTTATATCCCATTTCTTTTCTGCCCAAGGACTTGACCTTTACACAAATAGGCCTGTGACCTGTATTAACAATGTTTCTGCTGGGAATTACACTAGGTATCATAATTCTATTTAATGAATAACTTAACATTTAAAATCTTGGGCAAAATTCTGCAAGGTTTTCACTTTGTGTGCCTGTGCTGGACAGTTAGTTTACTTGGCCCCTGGGAGATGAGTGCTGGTGGCGTTCTGCCTCTGGAGCATTTTAATAACTCTGATAAAACTTCGAAAGCCCGAACACAGGTTGATACAACGGCACTAAAATATGTTTTCAGAGATGGTTGTACTGCCCATAGCTGAAAATGTCTGTTAGCCCAGGCAAATACTCTCACTCACATGCACACAAAAGACTGCACATTTCCAACAGAGCTCTGACCTGAATGAAGCTGAATTCTCTCCAACTGAGGGTGCCTCCCACAGAGGGCAGGGATGTTAGCCCTAGCAGGACAAAGAGAAACAAGCCCAGGATTCCCAGAGCCACGAAAGAGTCTGTGCCCCACGCCTCAGTATTATCAAAGTAAAATGGGGTGGTTTTGTTCTCCTTCATCTAAAAAGAACAAAGAGATGAGGAGGAAGCTAAGCAGTGATTTCAGTATACATAGACATACACTTTATGTCCTGTTCTTGACTGTACAAGATTTGTACTGGCATGCTCTACCTCATTCACCACAGTTGAGATGAGTTTGTGCCTGACGCTATAGCGAATGGGAATGATAAATGTGTAGATGGCATGGAAAAAAGCATAGCCAAGTGCAACGAGACCCAACTGCTTTCTGCACAGCATCCAGCGGTCCAACCAGTTAGGGAAGCGCCTGGAACATGCATAAATGAGTTAGGCACCTTGCAGACCCAGTATAATGAATCCAGGAGTTAATTGTATCAAGTATTACTTTACTAATTAACTTTTTTGGCCCCTTTTTCATGTCTGACCTGTATTTGGTCCCTCTGTAGAGCTGAAGAAAAGCAGCTATAGCACCAGGCAGGTAACACAGAGAGAGCATGATGAGTGACACAATTGGAAACACCTAATATATGGAGAAAAAAACATCTTTTTTCAACATCTCTCTGGAATCATAAAGAATCCCTATGCAGAAGACCAAACAGAAAGGGTCAATTTATACCTTGTTGGCCAGGGAAACAATGATACGGTATGAGATGTCATTCCCGTTTTCAACATATGCATAGATGACATCTCTGATGAGCAGGTAGAAGAAGAAGAAGGCAGAGAGGCCGAGAGCTATGGCTAGAGGCAGCCTCCACTCTGGGAAGAGTTTCAGGGGGAAGTCCTCCAGCTCTCTCGCTGCTGACAGGGAGCCTTTGTCCAGCACAGTGAGGCCCAGTTTGGTAGCCATCTGTGCCACGGCCTGCTTTGCTTCTGTACTGTCTCCACACAGGTATACCTGCACCATGATAATGTCATTTTAAACAAACTCTGAGATCGTTTTCAATATTATTTGGTAATTGTTATTACCAAAAAACACTGTCTTTTCCTGTAACACCTAAAGCTCCTTAACAAAAAAAACCAAGACTCACATTTCTTTTTTTCAATAATTTACTTTTTGCCACAGGTGGTAGGTGTACCATAATAGACTGGAGGGATTTCTGCCCCAAGTTTGATTTACTAAACAGTATACATGTTTTTTCAATGAAGGAACTTATTCATCATTTGCGCCAAGGTAACCTGTTTGTTAGTTTTTATGGGGGGTTTTTGGCCAGAAAAGAAAATTGTTTCTGTCTAGGAGTTACCAACACAACAAATTACTAAAAAACCTAATAATGGAGTAAAATTGATATTTTTTATTTTATCTATTTATTATTGATGTCTCCCCTTGGTATTTACTTTAGCATTTGTTAAGCATGTAGAAAGGGTTAGTCTTCAAAGGTTCTTGGTTAGAATAAGAAAAAGATCATGTTTAGAACTAATTAAAAAGCTCCATCATTCCGGTTGCCCGGGAGACGAGTGCACAGGAGACTTGAAATGTAGTTTTTCACACGAGACGAGACGATCATTTTCATTGTCTGAAAGGTCTTTGAATATATCATGAAGTCCTCATAATGTAGGCTTGTAGCAGAACAAATCTAATTTACATCGGCAGCTCTGCACAGGGAAAGCCAGATGGAAATCCCTTTAAACAGTTCAGGGCTCTGACATGTTCTGCTAGAAGATATTAAACATCAATTGTTGGATTCCTGATTATTTTGTATATTTTGAGCATCATTAGACCTTCATTCTCTCAAGGTAATAACATTAAGTAGATCATTGCAGTTTAATTGAAGTCTTACTGCACAGTGGGGCGTTCTTTCTTTTATCTCTCGTTGTTGTGTTAGTAACTTTTGAGATAATACCCGTGAAAGCTTTCAATGTAAAGACACATGCCCACCCTGTTTGCATATGCTCAATATGTAATAGCGTTTATCTATCTCACCACGCTGAACCTTATTACCACACTCACGGCTATCTGATAAGACGATTAAGTTGTTTTTGAAAGACGAGGGATGCTGAGAGCTACAAGGAGAGTTAGAGAGAGCAGTTTGACAGGCGTATAGGGGAGTTGGTGGGATTGAGCAGTTTTCCCCAGGTGTGTGTATAAGTGGACTGGGCAGTCAGCCATGTCTCCCTACATTACTGCACCAGTAACAGCTGGGGACAGCCGACAGACTAAATCTCCATCTGAATGTAAATGTGACAGAGCCACAGCCCCGCTGTGGATCTAATCAAATTGCTGGCCAGGGAATAACGCACACTTACAGGTGTGTGTGTGTGTGCATGAATATATACTGTAACTACAAATGCACTGAGAGATACACGCACTCAAACACAAGACTCCTCTTATTTCCCCGTTGTCAAAGAAATAGAGCAGTGCAGAGCTTGGTGCACGTGAGTCAGGGTGGGAGCGTGTGTTTGTGCATCTATGAGAGCTTGTTTGTGTTGAAGAGGATTTGAGGCAGATTCAGGTTTGGTCTCCAGAGGTTCAAGCATGTTAGTGTTTCCCTTTGTTGCAGTGAAAAGAAGGCTTCAATGAACTCTGGTCTTTCAACTCTGCGACATCATAACGCATGTTTGTGTGTTTTAAAGGCAGCGTCCTCATTTTCTCTTGCCTTGTTATAAAAAGAGCAAAATTCATAATGAGCTGCACGATACATTGAATTGATTTTTTTCATAAGTTTTGCATGGTCTGTGTTGAAGTGATGTCTCATGATATTATCAAGTCTCAGAGCCATTTTATCTATTCTACGCGAAATGTTGAAAGCAGCTATTGTACCTGGTTTGATGCTAAACGTTTCCCTTCATGATCAGATCAAGCTGGTAATCTCCCCTCCTTGTTCTTGCTCGGTCCTTCTGTCGACCAAATTCTCTTTTAATGCTTGGAAGCTTCCTGGCTCTGCTTTTCCTTGATACAACTGACATCCACTAATAGATTACTTCTTCAATTCTCTCACCTGTTTCCCAGCCAGAAGTCCATTCTGCAAGGCCCAGGCAGACAGTGTATTAAGGCCTTTCACCACAAAAGCTTTGGGGACGAGCCTGGAAAAAATCCAACGGGGACTTTTTTAAATCTTTTTTTTGTCTACAAAATGCAGACTGGAATTTGTCTGGAAAAGATAAAAATCAATGTTGTGACTTTAATAGAGTAGAGACATGGAAGGCCAGCCCTCTTCTTTCTTTTCAGTTTCTCTGCATTTATGGAAGAGTTTGATTTCTTGTTCTTAATTGGTGACTCATTTGCTATTGCTTTCTAAGGGCACATCAGATAAAATGCCAAACGTAAGGAGGTGATATATCTTATAGTTCCATAATCTAATACATGACTATCTATTTAACTGTTTTACAGGAGTTTGTAGCGTACCTCTGCAAGTACGCTGCATTGGCCTCTGGATACATGTTTTTCTTCAGGTTGTTACTCAGATCCACCAGCACCTGGACACCAGTGCATCAACATTGGTCAAAAGAAGGAAACACATTTCAATTTTATTACACATTTTTTCATGTCATTTTATACATACATATTAAAATGAACCTACACAGTACAGAATTTCGATTTAGGGTAAGAAATGTTCTCAGACTATTTCAAAAGCAGAAATGTAAAAAAAAAAACTGCATGTTAGGTTGATTGGATATTTCAAATTGCCCTTAAGATTGAGGGTGAGTGGTTGTTTGTCTTTGTGTGTCTCTGTGTGGCCCTGCGATGCACTGGCAGACCATCCAGGATGAATCCTGCCTCTCGCCCATTGACTACCCGCGACCCCATTTGGGAATAAGCTGTTTAGAAAATGGAGGATAATGAACCACAGTTTATGATATGGTTGAACCTATTTTCATTTAAGTCATATTTTGATTACGCCTTTTTCTATTTCACTACAGAAGAGACACTAAAGCCAAACTGTTAACAAATGAATGAACTAATTGAAAAACAAAAGTACAAAAATTGTCCTCCAAACCAAGGTGTGTGTTCAGGGAGCAAGGATTAATTTTTCATTAACATGGTTTGTAACAAATCAGAAAAATATAAGAGATACAAAAAATTCTGACTATTTCAGGTGAACTGTCTGTAATGTAGCATTAAAAATGAAACACTAAACGTTACTTCAAAAAAATTTACCGAGGAAAACAAACTAGAGTGATGAAGCAATTTGTGCTGTACAGATGTATTTCACAAACTATAGCTGTGAACCCACATGCAGTCTTATGGTTAGGGTGGGACACAAGAGATCACAAGAAAAGTATTTATCTAGGTAATTTGAATGCAAACCAAAGTTACGGAATGGCCTTGACAACTGGAAATCATCATCTTTTTATTCTCTCTAATGAGAAAATAATTATGTTGCATAGCGACAAAGCTTTTCTTGGGAGGTTTTGAGCAAAGTTAGTCACAAGCCTGCTTTCTTCGTGATGACCATAAAAAAAAATCTAATTATCTTTCAGTTGTTCTGAACAAGTATTCAGTATTATTACATATTTCCTTTCACAAATGCCCCATAAAATGTGGTGTTTAGGTGCTTAGTTTAAGGTAAATTAGTAGATTTGGCTGATAAACTGCCCCTTAACCTTTCCTTGGAGGAGATGCTCCATTTTCTCCAGGAATTCATAGTGGTCTCGGTGAACACAAATGAAAATCAAACCGGCAGCCTGGGCCGCCGCGGTGTGTGTCATCACCTGCATAGAAAGCACACATTCAGAGAGGGTTAGACCAATCAGTTTATCTGAATATACACACATTTCCTCTCCTTCTTTAGATAGACTCTGTGGAGTGCTGTACCTCGGCTCCTGCTGGCAGGGGGCCGCATTCGTGGGGTCTGCGGCTGCCGTAAACCACTCTGTAGCCACACTGAAGCAGACGCAGGCCCAGAGAACGCCCCAAGTCCCCGGTCCCGAAAATACACACCAGCTCCGGCTCAGGGACAGCTGCCATGTCCAGAGAATGCAGCAAAACGTCCATTCCTTCTGATGTGCCACTTGTTTAGATCGTCAGTCCTTTATGCTGTGCAGTTTTACGGCTGCGGAATTAGTACTGTGCTCTGCCCCTCCCTCCTTGCCTTTCACGGCACTCCACCTGATGTAAGAGTTAACTTCTGTGTGAGAGGTATTTTTATTACACCTGTAATCAACAGCTGAGAGCACGTGTGCTGAAGTGTGCAGGTGTTACATTAAATCATGGCATTTCTGTGTCTGTGAGACTTCACTCCTGCCATCAATTCTGCAGTGCTCGACAGGGCAACTTTTTATATGATTGTAATTACAATTGCCTGTCCTCTTCAAGTATTGATTGAAAGCCCCACGTTAAATTGTAACAAACACCAGTGGGAACCCTCTGCACTTTGTGAATTACGATGTGGACTGCAGGTTCACATTGTTAAACATCTTACTACTCCGTATAAAAACAGAGGCAGCTTTGTCTTTTTGCTCCAATCAGATGTTTAATTTCCAGTTAGACAGGGCTAAATAAAATATTGTAACTCCCGTTGTTCTAGTTTCTTGGCTTGATGTAAGGAACATGAACAGAGACAGATAAGATCTGTGTATTTTTTATTACACCTGTAATCAGCATCTCAGAGCAATCAACTTAGTATAGTCATTATATTAAGAAGTCATATAAAAAAAGAAAGTACACCCTTTTACATTTATAAAGTTTTAACATACCAAGCCTTTACTAGGTCTTATAGTTGAAAAAAAAACACAGTTCAACAACACATGACACAATGCCTCCAGTTTTTATTTATTTTAACTCGTTTACTAGATACTAGATTGTTTACTCGATTTTCAGATCCCAACTTCATATTACTTATTACACTAAAATCACTTTTTTTTTCTCAGCTCTTTTATACTTATAGTTACATTTATAAAGTTTTAGGTTGTTTCTGTAATTATCCATAGTCTATTTATTACCTAACCTACATACAGACCTCGCTGTACTTGAGAGCCAAGCAATGACATTTCGTTATCAAATTCATTATGTGGCTTTGTACAATGACAATACAGGAAGTCTAAGTCTAGTCAAAGTTCAAAAGAAAGTACGTTTTCATATGAATAAAGTGAAGTAACTGCAAGCAAGTTCATCTTATCCAGAGCACAGAATTAGCCCCTCTCTAAAAGTTCAAGCTTTGGTCGTTTGCCGGTCTGGACAGTTCAAGTGTGTCAACACAATGCCATTCAAGTATAAAATTATCTTTCAGAAGCAAATATTACAGCCCATCAATCTTGAATAGTTCCTCTTTTCAGATACCTCAAATCATTATGGTCAATGTTCTACGGTGAGAAAAGTTATTCAAGAGTAAAAACAGGGTCAATATAGTGGTGAATCTTACCAGTAGGGTCAACTTCTGGCATGTCTTAGATAGATGAAACCAAAGCTGTTTGGCCGAAATGCATAGCGCAATGTTTGGAGAAAGCCAAAAACTGAACAAACACCTCATCTTTACAGATGAGCCTGGATCTGTGCACCTTGCAGTAAGTGAACTGACACATAAAACAACATAAGTAAAAAAGCTTTACTATCTTTTAAACCAGAAAGTAAGAATACAAATTCCATAGCTTAACAGTGCAACCAAGAAATTCACAGTATTTATACAGACTTGTAAGTATAATCTTTCCATTTATCTTCCAGATACTGCAAGACTTTGAGCGCTAAATGAGCAGACTGGACTTTGTAGCTGTATTCCTAATCCCAGATTCACATTTCTTTAACATTTTATCACTCCTGAACAATACAGACTGCTTTAACTGCCTAGTTCCACTAAAGTTTGACAGTCACAAAAAGAAAGAAAAAACTATTGAGGCTTTCCAGGGCAGCTGTCTTTTTCTGTTTCGTCTGTCTTCACACCAGACATGATGCCATGTGGGAGATCCTGGCCCACAAATTCATTATCATTTCAAAACCTGTTGTTCCAACCAAACGGCTAGAAAGAGAATTTGTGCAAATTTAGTGTTCATGTCCCCATGGCAAAAACATCTGCAAAGCCGTGACATGAACGGACTCAACAGAGCAGAAATGAAGCTTGGCACATGTGCAAGTGTTTTGTGTGTTGCTGCTTTGCTTTGAAACAGTACTAGTGGTATTGCTTGCAAGGTTTCGTTGATGCGTGCGTGGGAGCGTGCGTGTGTGTGTGTGTGCGCTGAAATGAGCTGAAACGATCAGAGCTGAATGGAGTCTCAGCCATGATGTGCAGCACCTGGGGAGTTGGCTCGGCAGACAGGGTGACAACCTGGCTGTAGAAATGACACACAGCATCACATCAAGTTTACTGACTATTTGCACAAAAAATACTCCTCTCCATAAAAGGACCCTTGTTGAAATAGCAATATACATATACAAAGCCGGGAATGTTTATGGCAGACAAGCAGCGCGTTACCTCAGGAGCTTTTACAGGAATGCCCATAACTAAAGCATTAAAGTCTACCTGGGGGGATGTTGCTGCAAAATGAGAAATCATTTTATGCCCAACTTTCGGGGCACCCATTCAATTGCAGGGCTGTTAGAATAGACCCAACTGCAGATTCAATCAGATAATTCCTTTACTAGCTCTGCCTCTGAAAAAGCTATCTTTTGATCTCTTCCTAAACTCACTCTTTTTTTCATACCATCACAAAAACACTTCTCATTTTTTCCTTTTGAATACTTCTTTTGCTATTAAACTCACTTTCTAGTACTCTTTCCCTATTGAAATCTTTCCAAAAGTAATTCTATTCCTGCGTAAATTAAGCTCAGGCAAGCATCCAAGGCCGTGCTCCATGTCCCTCTTTAGAGTATGTTTAGCAAAGTAAAAGAGGACATCATCAAATAATCTTTTGTCTATTTCTTTTCTGTTTATCATGGACATGAGAACACAAGTACAATATTGTTGAGCATTTATTACAACTACTATTCAGGTAATACCGTAAATTGATATTTCTTGAAGTTTGAAGAATTGAAGAGGAACAACAAACTACAAACTACAGAATTCAACAAAAATAATCTAATCAGAAAGCTCCTTATGAATAGACTAATTGTTGGATATTTATGTGATGTTATTTGTCTATTTTCAAGCTGTCTGATATTCTCATTTTGCTTTCAAACATCTTAAGTCAAAATGTCTTTTAAGGAATAGCAGTCCATAAAGCTTTTTCCATAATTCATCCTGGAGACTAAACTTCGATACATAGCCGACACAAAAGCTTTTTTTTTTTGTCAGAAAAACAACCCGAGACAAAATTAAGGCCACAAATTGAATTTCTATAAACAATCTACTTTCATTGTACCACTTAGAAGTACAGACTTCACTTTATAAGCATTGCAAATATATACAGCTTCACTGAGTCTGGATCCTTCAGATCAATCAACTTTTTTAATAGCTCTGCACAGCAGTGAAGCTGTGGGTGGATTGCTCTAATGGCACTAAGATCAAACTGTCTCTAACTCACTAAACTGTTTGTTAGTGCATGATTTTTTTCTTCAAATATAGCAGCTCTCTCTGTAAGCAGTGACGCCTAACAGAAGTCCTGCTGACCCACTATTTGTCATCCTAAAATCCTAAGTGCAATGGTTGTTTTTTTTTATTCCATCAATGATAGGATTTATTTGAAAAAGTGAGAAAAATCTTAGGCAGGAAGCAGTGTTGTGATTCCTGCATCTACTAGTAGTTTTCCAAATATTCATTAATAAATCATTTGTCAAGTGAGCTTCATTTAATCAGTTAAACCTACATATACCATTATGGTTTAGACCTAAAACTCAGAGAAAGAAGTTGAAGCTTTTACCATTTACAATGTTGCCTCTCCTGCTTATGGCACTTAAAACACATGCTTGCACAAAGGATATGAGGTGTTTAAGGGGTTGTTCATCGCTTCTCCCAACACATCTTAAGTTGTGCATTAGTGAGGACTCGTTTTTGCTTTTTTCTCTTGACAAAAGATCCTTTATCAGGGAAAGGTAAAGCAGACTAATACAATACACACACTCACCTCTTCATTAGACATAACTCTGTGATCAGCACAGCTACATGGTCTTGTTATGAAATAGGTCACGGTCTCTTGAAAAGATGTGATCTTGAAGGCAGCATCTGTTACCCTAATATGTAGTATTCCATCTCAGCTGAGTGCATTAACTTTGCTAAATGCAGTGCTGCATTCCGTAGTTTCACACACCCTGTCTAGTGGATCTTTTGCAGTTCAGCATGAAACTCTTGAATGTGGTGCCTGACAAAGATTTTGCAGAGCAATCTTTTTGCCATTATGTTATGTTACCTATTCATTAATGATGAGATTTCGTTATTTTTTAATATACGTGAAAGTCCTCTAAATTCTTTAAATAATCTATTAATTTTTAACAATGTGGAATGAGACAAATTCTTTCAGTGTCACAGAGGAACATTGTTTTCATACAGTTCAGCACATTTTCTCATACTTTTATAATTAAAGAGGAGACCTTATGTCATCCCAGACAGTCCATTGCAAATGCCTCCCAGGAGATCACACATCAGGGATCACACAAAGTATATTGTGGTCTAACCAATCAGTGTGCAAGCTTTCTTTTCTTTCAGTTTTTTTTTTAATGCATTGCAGCCAAAAACATTACCTCATTTTCACCAAAATGTGCAGGTCCTTTTAATGGGAACAAGGAAGCTTTCAACAGTTATTTGCAAATATCTGACCTACAGAGTTGCACAAATCAAATACATTATTGTGTTACATAGTACATTCTACATTTTCCAGTTTTTCATTTTATTTCTCACACGAATGAGACAAACAACCCCATTCCACTCTAACTTCTTGGGTCAATTTAAAATCAATAATAACCACCTTTTTTCATGGTGGGCCAAAGCCCACACATGCACGGGACAGAGCATGCAAACTCCATAAAAAGCCTCAGCCACCATCCACACCCAGGTTTCTTTTGCTGGGAAGCGGCAGTGCTATCCTCCACAATTTGCTGTCCAGATTTTCAATCAAGTCTATTTTATGCCCCTCCAAAACCATCTTTAATATTGAATAGTGTCTTGTATGACAGAACGTCACATTAGAGGGGAGTTACATGAATGATACACAC